CCGTCTAAAAGCACATTCTTGGAATTTTAGAAGAACTTCGATCATCTTAACTTTGAGTTTCAAAAAAAAAAACAGACAAATAACATTTTATTTTGACCATGTTCTTTTCAAGGTCTGGTGCCTCGAGAACAGGTGAAATAGAGGGACTCCTCTTAGGCAAAGCAACCATACACTTGGATACAATCCAACCTCCAGGCCTGGAAGTAGAAGAGTACTGCTAACATCCAATTATCCACAGATTGGATGGTTGGGGGTGAACATGGCAGTGCAGAAAAAGAGGGCGAGAAAGCAGGCATTTTCTCTCCCCACTGGGTCTACTTAGCTGACATGCTGCGGAAAATAACTTGTAAGAGGACTTTGATAATGTGTTAATTATGCAGCTGCATTTTCCATAGGCCATCTGCATAATCCCATCTCACAGAGATGCTTCCAAACTACCTGAGGACATTTGGGTTCTGAAACACCGTCACTCTAGTCTCGTCAGAAAACCAAACATGGATGCAACTTGGCAATGAAAAACATAAAAATGTCACCACAATCGGCGTTGAGCTTGAATGACAGAAATGAAGGACGGAGATCTACACATCTACTTAGCTCTTGACTTCGGGTTTTAAAAATTCAGAGTTAACAAAGGAAAATCCTTCGAATTCTGATTGGTCAATATTCCTGATGACTTCCTGGTCGGGAGGTGTTAGGACTGGTGGATGGCGGGTGAAAAATCGGTCGAAGTTTTCAGCATTTCGCCCACACTATGAGAGGGGAAGAAAAGAACTTGTGGTGGGTGGGACAAAAACAAAAACAAAGCCAAAATAAAACAGAACCTAGCATAAGGGGATTGCTTTTCTCCAATCCCCTCCCTTTCAGAAACTCAGAGAGGTTGTTTCAATGATCAGAAATGAGAGCAACATAAAATGCAAAATTCTCATGACCTTGGATGCACAACCTTGGATTCCCAACCTTCAGTTTTTTTTTTTTTTTTAGCTCATGAGCTGCTCCTGGTGTCCTCTGGGCAGTCAGGAGATGGATGGCAAAGGCATGAGATGGTGGGGCCAGAGACATGTGGCATGTTCCCTCAACCCACCCCGAGCAGTCAGCCAAGCTCATCTGTTGGAAAACATGGGATTAAGGCACCTGAGATGTTTCAGGTGGTACACGATGCAAAGTAATGACCCATTTATACCTCACCTGGGAGATCTCAAAATTTATAGCAGCAGACCCCTCAAAGTGCTGTCCTCTAGCTCTTAATCAGGAGCAGTGGATGTTTTCCAACTCAACAGAATACAATTCATAAACTCCATCCCAGCTGAAGATCTGGGTTTGATGCTTGCAACGCCTGGGCAACCACGAGGCCCCTGGTTAGCTGGATCAGTCATTGACCATTAAGTACAAAGTGCCAGGAGGTAAATTCAGCCATCCCTTCTTCAAATAGGAAGGAGGGATATTGGAGGAAATACAAACCATTCTTTGGTGAAGCAATCGGGTTCTAGAGAGAAAATCATTGCCATTTCTCACCCATCCTGCTGGTCTTTCTATAGAAAAAAGACCCCTATAGACCCCTATCTGAGCCAGAATTATAACATATATGTGTATGTACTTGTGTGTGCATAGGTGCATGCATGCATGAGTGCCTACACATGTACATGCTAATTTTCACCTAATGAGAAGGGGCAAATCACTAAATCTCGTGTTCCTTGTTCTTGGCCAGCAAAACCCATTTGCACAAAAGCTCTATGTGTTTCAAACACTGTATCTATAGGAGGTAACCACAAGCTAATAGTATAATAGTAATAATAATTATGACTGCTGATATTTATTATGCATTTGCTATACACCAGGACAAAATTGCTCTTTACTGGAAAGTTATTTATTTGTATTATCTTATTTAATCTTCCCAATGGCCCTATGAAGTGGGTATTAGTATCATCTCCATTTTATAGATGAGGGAACTGAGGCCAAGGAGATTATGTAATTTCTTCAAGGTCACACAGCAAACCAATAGCAGAGCTGCACGATGAATCAGGTTCATCTGACATCAGAGTCCAAGTTCCTGTCTCCATTTTTACAAGCACAGTGGACAGCCTAATGTGCCTAATGACTAATAGACTACAGCCACAGTGACTAATGGAGTGGGAAAGGGGCCACCGTTAAGACAAGGATGGGGATGATGAAGTCTCTGTTTTGAATGACAGGGACTGTGGTTGTATGAACTGAAACAGAGAAAGTGGGAGAACTGAGAAAGATGATTAATTCCATTTTGGACAATAACTTTGAGGGGCTAGTGAAAGTCCAGGTGATGACTGGAGGGAGTCAGAAACATAGGTTTTGGGCTGGAGGTGGTAGTTCACTACTGTAATCGCAGCACTTTGGGAGGCCAAAGTGGGCAGATCACCTGAGGTCATGAGTTCAAAACCAGCCTGACCAACATAGCAAAACCTTGTCTTTAGCTGGGTGTGGTGGTGCATGCCTGTAGTCTCAGCTACTCAGGAAACTGAGGTGACCAAATTGCTTGAGCCTGGGAGGTGGAGGTTGCAGTGAGCAGAGATTGCACCACTGCACTCCAGCCTGGGAAACAGAATGAGACCTCGACAATAACAAACAAAAAAACAAAACAAAACAAAAACACACACACACAGGTTTAGCAACTCAGGAGAGAGGGCTTGAAAAACCGTTTTGTTTTTTTTTTTTTGAGACGGAGTTTCGCTCTTGTTACCCAGGCTGGAGTGCAATGGCGTGATCTCGGCTCACCACAACCTCTGCCTCCTGGGTTCAGGCAATTCTCCTGCCTCAGCCTCCTGAGTAGCTGGGATTACAGGCACGCGCCACCATGCCCAGCTAATTTTTTGCATTTTTAGCAGAGATGGGGCTTCACCATGTTGACCAGGATGGTCTCGATCTGTTGACCTCGTGATCCACCCACCTTGGCCTCCCAAAGTGCTGGGATTACAGGCTTGAGCCACCGCGCCCAGCCCAAAAAAACCGTTTTTTTAAAGCACAGAATATGGGGAGTAGAAAGAGGTAACAAGAGTAATAGAAATCAGTGAGCACTTTCAACGCAACAGACATTTGCCAAGTGTTTCTGCATACATGACCTTTTTAATTCATGTAACAACTCTTTGAAATCAGTATTTTACTTCCAGTTGCCCATGATAAAAATACCCCTTCAAGTGTCTTAGGCGAGCAGGAGGAAAACCAGGAGAGAATAGTATCAGACAAGCTAAGGACTGAGAGGACTCCCAGGAGAAGAGCATTGGGATAACTAAAATATCTTTAAGAGGTTAAATAGGAGAGTTGCTGACAATGGCTCACTGCAGTTGGCAACTGGGGTGATACTGATGAGAAACGGAGGGCTGCCCCTGAACATCAGCCGCTGGAAGAGTGAAGGTACATTGAGAAAGTCATTCTCAGCAAACTGACACAAGAACAGAAAATGAAATACCGCATATTCTCACTCATAGGCGGGTGATGAACAATGAGAACACATGGACACAGGGAGGGGAGCACTACACACTGGGGTCTATTGGGGGGAATAGGGGAGGGAGAGTGGGGTGGGGAGCTGGGGAGGGATAGCATGGGGAGAAATGCCAGATGTGGGTGAAGGGGAGGAAGACAGCAAATCACACTGCCACGTGTGTACCTATGCAACTATCTTGCATGTTCTGCACATGTACCCCAAAACCTAAAATGCAATTAAAAAAAAAAAGAAAGTCAAGAGGTGCAGGCTCATCTTCAAAGCCTTTTTGTTTGTAAGGGAAGCAAAAGTATTTGATGCTCATGCGAGAGACTTAGGTCTCCAAGAGCTTCTGCCTTCTGCTCACTCCTTAAGCCCAGGAGTCTATAGACTGAATTCAAATCCCGGCATTATGCTGCCCACTATCTGTGCAACTCTGGGCAACTTACTGCAAGTCTCAGTTTCCCCTTTTGTAAAACAAGAGCAATTCTAACTCCTGTGATATGTGTTATGAACATAAAATGAGAGATGCAAGCAACAGGCACTGAGTATGTGCTCAATGCATCATAGCTCCAAGTACTATTTAGTTCCCGTTTCTACTCCAAATCCCTACAGATAGACAGCATATGTTTCCTATAATAGGGCATTTTCATGGTGTTTAAGTTTTAAATACTAAGGAGACAGTCTTGAATTTTTAAAAAGACTCTTGTCAGACTTAAGGAAACCTATTTGTCATTCCAAGCTCAATTGTTTCTGCTGTTTGTTGTCTTGGCTTCAGGTCTCAGAAAATGAGAACTCTGACACAGTATCAAGACCTGAGGTCCGTTCTGCTGGCCAGTGGAGGGAAACTCCCACAGAAGGATGACCCTTTAGGGTAAACTCAGTGTGGTTAGGCTTACTGTCCAGATTCATTCATTTGTTTATTGATTTTCTCATTCAAGATGGATTTATTGAGTACCTACTGTGTCCCTGGCTCTGTGCTAGTAGAAAATGATAAAAATCCATGCTTCATGGAACTTACATTCTACTGGGGAAGAGAGGCAACAAACAAACAAGAATGTAACTGTAAATGTAAATATACATTTTAGTGCCAGATAGAGATAAATGATATTAAGAAAAATAAAGCCAAGGCCAGGCAGGGTGGCTCACATCTGTAATCCCAGCACTTTGGTAGGCCAAGGCTGGTGGATCACGAGCTCAGTTCAAGACCAGCCTGGGCAACATAGTGAAACTCTGTCTCTACCAAAAATACAAATATTAGCTGGGTGTAGTGGTACACACCTGTGGTCCCAGCTACTCAGGAGGCTGCAGTGGGGGAATTGCTTGAGCCCAGGAGGCAGAGGTTGCAGCCTGGGCAAGAGTGTTACCCAGTCTCAAAAAAGAAAGAAAGAAAGAAAGGAAAGAAGAAAGAAAGAAAAAGAAAGAAAAAGAAAGAAAGAAAGAAAAGAAAGAAAGAAAGAAAGAAAGAAAGAAAGAAAGAAAGAAAGAAAGAAAGAAAGAAGAGAAAGGAAAGAAAGGAAAGAAAGAAGCCAGGGCAGGGGGTGGAACGAGAGTGATGCCATTTTCAGCTTGGAGGAAATGGCCTTTGAGCAAGACCTCAGTGGAGTGAGAGAGGGTACCCTTTGGATGTCAGGAGGGAAGGTATTCCAGGCAGAGGGAACCACAAGCTCTAAGACCCCAAGACAGAGTTCACCTGGCAGAGTCACCAGGCAGCAATGAGGTCAGAATGGCCAGAGCAGAGTGACCAAGGGGTAAGAGTGGGCCAGGAGCCAGAGCAGGGTTCCTTGATGGCCATGTAAGGACAGTGGATTTTCATCTCAGCTCAATGAGAAACTGCTGGAGAATGTTGAGCACCGAATGATATGATGACTTATGTTTGTTTTTACAGTATTTCATTTTTTTTTTTTTAGAGACATGGTCTTGCTCTGTTGCTCAAGCTTGAGTCAGAGGCATGATCATAGCTCACTGAGGCCTCAAACTCCTGGGCTCAAGCGATCCTCCCACTTTAGCCTCATGAGTAGCTATGACTACAGGTGTGCACTACCATGCAGGACTAAGTTTTAATTTTTTTTCTTTGGTAGACACAGGGTGGTGGTGGTTGTGGGTCTCACTATGCTGCCCAGGCTGGTCTCAAACTCCTATCCTCAAGTGATGCCCCCACCTCAGCCTCCCAAAGTGCTGGAATTCCAGGTGTGAGTCACCAAGCTGGCCATGACTTACATTTATTAAACAGGATCACTGGTGTGGTGTACAAGGATGGATTAAATGAACAAGGTACAATAATGGAAAAAGTGTGACCAGTGAGATGGTGGTTACAATACTCCAGGTAAGAATGATGGGGTCTTGAAGGCAGGTGATTGGTAGGGGATGGAAAGATGCATTCTGATGTGGGGTATGTTCTGAATTCAGAATTGACAAGATTTGCTGATGAATCGGGTGTGGGGTATGAGAGAAAGAGAGGAGCTGTGGGTGACCCTGACATGTTTGGCCTGAGCCATTTAGTGAGTGAGGAATACGAGTAGAGCCTATTTGAGAGGGAAATTGAGTACTTGCTTTCCTTTATGATAAGTTTGAGATTCCAGCAGACGTGTCAAGGAGTCCTCTAGGCTGCAGTGTGGGGACTGCAGAGGTTCAGGGAACTAGACTGGTGGCCCTGGCATCCGGGAGAGACTGCCGCAGTCATCCCCAAGAGAGGGATGACGGCTAGGACTACAGAAAAGGAAGGTGGGGCCGAGAATAAAGAGGTTCTGGTGGCAGGGACTGCTGGTATCGCATCCTGGTTTGGCTACAAGGCAGAACTCTGGGTGTTTTTCTTTGGCCTGGGTGTTGGAACCCAAGCCAGCCGGCGTAGGAAGCACATTAGCTGAAACACAGGGTGTCTTCGGGGACCATTTTTCTTTAAAAAACATCAATTTCCCATCCACACCAGAAGGCTGTTGCTTTGCTTGGGCCTCCCCAGAGGCTGTGGTGGGAGACAGTGAAACGGCTTCTGGCAGCTCCGCAACCTCCCTCCCCCTCTCCCCGCTCCCTCCTGCCTCAGAGAACAATGAAATCTTTAAGTGAGATGGCAGAGAGGAGACGCAAGAACAGGGGTTAACCAAGGGGGCAGGATACAGAGGGAGCATGATTTCCCTGCTAATCAGCAGCTTAGGCAGCGGAAGGGTTGGGGAGGGGGGCGTGGGGAGGGGGGTGCTGGCAGATCACAGCCTCCCTGTTAAGTGTTTCTGTGTTTCTCCAATGGAGCTGTCACTGACCATTAGCTTCAGGAGCGCTCCCTAAATGGAGACGTCAGCCCTTGGGAGACACAACCCAGATCAGCTTCCCGCCTGCTGTGTCCTTGGAGTACGGGCTGCTCGGTAGCTGGGATCTAATTACAAACACACCTTGGATTGCACCTGCCTCTCTGGCTTGTCTTGGGTGAACACTTCAGCCTCACTCAGCTTTAAAAAAAAGAAAAGAAAAGAAAATCCAACCCCCTTGTCCTCAGGGTACACCAGTGAGCCTCCTGGAACAGGAATGAGGACCAGAAACCAACTGGGTTATTTAAACCACACGCACCTCTTTCAGGATTAAGGAGAGGAGTAAGAATGCTGACTTGTTGAATCACGCTCCTGCATTTGAGAATCCAGACAGTTTGAAAAGCTTATCTGTGACCTGTTACACATAGGCTCTTTCTCTTTCTCTCTTCTTTCAGAATTTCTGTTTCACTGTGTTAGTAACAGAGTCTTGCTGTTGCCTGTGGAGTTGGCTTGGTCACCACGGCCACAGGGGTCCCTTTTGTTTTTTTGTTTTGTTTTGTTTTGATTTTTGAGACAAGGTCTTACTCTGTTGTCCTAGTTGGGGTGAGGTGGCATGATCATAGCTCACTGCCACCTTGAATTTCTGGGCTCAAGGGATCCTCCTGCCTCAGCCTTGAGAGTAGTTTGGGACCACAGCTACACACAACCATGCCCAGCTAAAGGGATCTTTTAAAGATGCTGACCTGTGAGGAAATGGAGACCATCCTGGACAACATAGTGAAACCCCGTCTCTACTAAAAATACAAAAATTAGCTGGGGGTGTTGGCATCCACCTGTGGACCCAGCTACTTGGGAAGCTCAGGCAGAAGAATTGCTTGAACCCAGGAGGTAGGGGTTGCAGTGAGCTGAGACCGTGCCACTGCACTCTAGCCTGGTGACAAGAGCAACACTCCATCTCAAAAAAAAAAAGAAAGAAAGAAAGAAAGAAAGAAAGAAAAAAAAGATATGCCATTTCCCTGCTCTTATCTGCAATAGCTCCCCATTGCCCAAAGCCCACACTTCTTAGCATGGCTTAAGGGGCCATTTAGGACTTGTTCCTGGACACAGCCCCTTCCCTGCCCATATTCCCCACCCCTCTGAGACACCCTCCAGCTGTACTGAAATATTTCCAGTTCCTGAAACACTCATGAACTCTTGGAGGTGACTTCAAGCCTTTGCACAGGCTGTCTCCTCTGCCAGGAACACTTGCCTCCCACTCCTTCCCTGTTCATCCAGCTACCTCCTGTGTATCCTTTCTGTCTCCAGAACAGTGTCGCTTCCTCCACGACGTTTTTCCTGACCTCTCCTCTATACTCCTGGGTTTATCACATCAAGATACAGAGTGTTCATCAAAGAATCATTAGAAGAAGAAAAAGTTGGGAATCTACTATGGACCAATAGGGAAAACAGTTAAATAAATAATGATACATCTATTTGATGTATTACCATGCAAAACACTCTTAAAAATTAAAAGAAGATGTAGAAGAATATTAAATGACATAGTTATATATAATTACTAACAGTGTGTACAATATGTTCCCATTCTATAAATTATATACACAAATGTATATGTAATATCTGTACACATTTTATATATAGGCTTTATATACAGATTAGAAGAATTACAGATGGTTTTAAGTTTTCCTTTTTCCCTTTATGCTTGATTACGTTTTTTAAAATTTGCATAACAATCAGATATTGTTATTATTATTTTGTAATAAAAGAAGTTATGAGAGAGCAATTATCATGGAAGAAATTGAAAAATAGAAATAAAGAGAATGGGAGTATTTGGGTAAATTGTTAAGGTTAGCCTGATGCTATTTAACGCGCTTCACTTTAGTAAAACACTCTTAAGACAGTAGGAGAATTGCTTGAGGCCAGGAGTGTGAGACTGGCCTAGGCAACATAGCAAGACCCTGTCTCTACAAAAAATTTTAAAAAACTTATCAGGGCATGATGGCACATGCCTGTAGTCCCAGCTACTTGAAAGGCTGAAGTCAGAGGATCGCTTGAGCCCAGGAGGTCGAGACTGCAGCAAGCTATAATTGTGCCTCTGCATTCCAGCCTGGGTGACAGGGCTGGAATGAAACAAAATGAAACAAAAAAAAACCTCTAAAGCAAGTGACTGCCTTGATGTGTATTTTGGTGCTAACGGATGATGAGGAAGGCTAATATTTGGATCTTGCCCATCCTCTGCCTAGCAGTATGCCTGACACTGGTAAAACATAAGAGGGTACCTCTTATCCTCATAGAGCTTAAGGTCTAGCAGCAGACACAGATGTACACATAGGCCACTGCATGGGACCATGGGACCATGGGACAGGTGCTGCCATTGAGCATAGAGGAAAGAAACCCTAGAAGGGTCAGGAACATGGTCTGGAGGAAGCGATATCTCACTTGAGTAGGACCAGCAGGAGAGACAGCACGTCTTTGGAGGAGGAAAAAGAAAGAGGCTGAGGGGCTGGAGAAGAAATGGAGGTGAAAAGAGGGCATGGACAGGGTAAGATGGTGGAGGAGAGGATAAGTCTCCTCCTCCATGCTGTCTGTTGCCTAGCTGAGTTTGATAACATGAGGCTAGTGGCTCAGGGGAGCTACCTGCCTAGCCTCCATCAAGACACCAGGGCACCTTGATGAGAACAAGACCAGAAGGTCACGGTGAAAAGACGTCCAAGCTACAGAACCTAGGCAAAAAGACAAAGGCGTCTTTGTTTTTCAAATGTGCACATCCAGTGAAATGCAGGCTCGTTTCTATGCCTTCCAGTTTCCCACAGCTACACAGGAGAGACTCACCCAGGGAGAATCAGTTGCATGAAGCTGCACGCACATTTGATCGTTTTAAAAAGTCATTTGTACACCAAGGCTTTTCTTTCAAACAGAGTCGGGTAATATTCACCATGGTCTGGGCTTGGGCAGAAAAAAGAAAAATTCAAGTCTCCTTTTTCTGCTACTAAGGAAGGTCCCTTACAATCAGGAATCTTTTATCTCTTATGTTTATTTAGGGAGGAAGTCAGCAGGAGAGGGGTCTTTTGGGTTTGATATTAAGTCTGTTTTGTTTGCTTTTGCTTTTCATTTTCATTAAAAAAAAAAAAATCAGTGTCTTGATTTCCTCCCTAGCTCAGTTTAAATGCTATCTTGTCAGAGAAGCTGTTCGAGATCACCTTCAAATAAAGTGCATCTCTCATCCTCCCCGTTCACTTCTTTCACAGAAATAGGATCTGGCATATCTCAATCTATAATTATTAATACATGTTCATTCAGTCTTTCTTGTCTATTTCTCATCTAGACTATAAGCTACATGAGAGCAAAGTCACATCTGTTTTATGCACCACTGCATTTCTAAGATCCAGGCACAAAAAATTATTAAATGGACAAATCATAGTATATGCTAAACACTAACTATAAGCCAGAAATTGTGTTAAGTGTTTTGCAAGCATTATCTCTTTAATCCCCCAAAAGCACTATGAGGTCCTTGCTGTACAATGAAAAAATGGGTTTAGAGAGTTTGAGTATCTGACCATGATTAGATCCTAGGTTTCACAAGAGATCCAGACTCTTCTATCAGTCTTCTACATTTATTGCAGAAACAAACAAGCTACTAAAACGCACCAAGAGGCCAGGCGTGGTGGCTCATGCCTATAATACCAGCACTTTGGGAGGCCTAGGTGGGAGGATCACTTGAGGTCCTTTGGGAGGCCCAGGTGAAAGGATCACTTGAGGAGTTTGAGACCAGCCTGGGCAACACAGCGAGAATCTGTCCCTACAAAGAATTGTTTAAATATTGGCCAAGCATGGTGGTGCATGCCTGTAGGCCTAGCTGTTCAAAAGGCTGAGGCAGGGGGAATCCCTTGAACCCAGGAGTTGGATGCTGCAGTGCGCTATGACGGTTCCACTTAACTCCAGCCTGGGTGACACAGCGAGACCCTATCTCTAAAAAAAATAATACTAATACTTTTTTTTTCAGGCAAAGTCTCACTCTGTTACCCAGGCTGGAATGCAGTGGTATGATCTTGGCTCACTGCAACCTCCACCTTCCTGGTTCAAGAGATTCTCCTGCCTCAGTCTCCCAAGTAGCTGAGATTACATGTGCCTGCCACCATGCCCAGCTAATTTTTGTATTTTTTGTAGAGATGGGGTTTCACTATGTTGGCCAGGCTGGTCTCGAACTCCTGATCTCGTGATCTACATGCCTCAGCCTCCCAAAGTGCTGGGATTACAGGTGTGAGCCACCATGCCTGGCCATAAAAAATGTTAAAGCACACAAAAGAATCCTTTGCAATTCCAACACCCCAAATCTCTGTATTATGTTAACATCTTGGTTTGTATCCTAGATGGCTGGATGAATAGATGAATGGATGCTTTTTAGTTTTTAGACAAAGGTGGAATCATGACTCTGTTCTTTTGCTTGCTTTTTAAAAGAAGCTAGATAAAATACACTCAAACATCTTCCCATGTCAACAGAGTATCATTTTTTTTCTTATCTATTCTTCACCATTCATCCTAAAGCCACATTGCCAAGGCTTCAAGTAAACTCACCCTCAAATAGTAATTATCCCTTCTATTTGCCTATCTTTTTATAGCTTTGATTTCCACAAGGCTGTGAGATAGGCAGGAAAAGGATTATCTCTACCCAGCAGATAATTTTAAGAGTTAACAATTTGTTCTGAGTTATATGGGGTCAAGTAGGAGAGCCAAGATCCAGAGCCCATCTGTTCAATTCCAAAGCCCATGGGCTTTCCATTACATGTCATTGCTTCATACAATGCATCTGATTGTGTGGCATGGACTTAAAAGTTAAATTGACCTGAGTACCAATCCTGGCTCCAAAAATTCCCAGCTACACAACCTTTAAGCAAGTTAGCTAAGTCCCCGAAGCTCAAGTTCCTTGTAGGGTGTGGCGAGAATGACTTGATAAAATGCACATCAAATACTTAACAGGGTAGCTGGTGATTGCTGCTGAGGGCTGACTGACCCAGTCCTGTGAGTAACTCTGATAGGGTGTGGTGGTGCTCTGGCTGGAAAGAGGTCCTGTAAGCTGTGCCACACCCCAAACTCATTACCCATACTCCCACCCCAGTTACAAGCAGAATGAGGACCTGCCAGTGCTACTTAAGACATAGAACCGGAACCTTCCCACTGAGTCTGGTGCATCATGGCAGCAACCTACAAGACAAAGCCAGGCCCTCGGGCTCCCAGTTAGAGGACATGGGAAAAATATGCGTACCCTGGGGAGCAAAAGGGATGCATTGCCAGTCTCACCAAACCCTCACTTCCTTAGAAAGACATTTCAAATAGATTCACACACCATCTCCGAGCTGTTTTTCATGTGCCATTTGGGGGGCATGTTGTGGTTATTTTTAAGAAACTGCACTTGTAACAAAATAAAAAATAAGCTTTGTCTTTCCCTTTCTGGGTCATGAGTAGGTCTCAACCCTCCAAATTCAACTGTCACTGGAAGTCTTCTTGGAGTTGGATTTTTTTTCTTTTTTTGTGAGACGGAATTTCGCTCTTGTTACCCAGGCTGGAGTGCAATGACGCGATCTCGGCTCACCGCAACCTCCGCCTCCTGGGTTCAGGCAATTCTCCTGCTTCAGCCTCCTGAGTAGCTGGGATTACAGGCACGTGCCACCATGCCCAGCTAATTTTTTTTTTTTTTTTTTTTTGTATTTTTAGTAGAGACGGGGTTTCACCGTGTTGACCAGGATGGTCTTGATCTCTTGATCTCGCAATCCACCCGCCTCGGCCTCCCAAAGTGGAGTTGGAATTTCTATCAGAAGTGGCTGTGAAGGCAGCAAGAACATCAGCAAATGTGGCAATATGGTTTGAACGGATTGCCCTCCAACAAAGTTCATGTGCTGGAAAACTAATCACCAATGCAACAGTGTTGAGAGATGGGAATTTTTCGAGGTGACTAGATTAATGGGATTACTGGGGGAGTGAATTTACTTAAAAAGTAAGTTGTCCTCTCTCGTGCTCTCTTGCCATGTGATGCCTTCTAGCAGGTTACTATGAAGCAAGAAGGCCCTCCCCAGATACAGCCCCTGATCTTGGACTTCCCACTCTCCAGAGCCATGAGCCAAATAAATTCCTTTTCATTGTAAGTTACCCAATTTCAGGTTTTTTTTTTCTCTTTTTTTGAGGCAGGGTCTTGCTCTGTCACTCAGGCAAAAGGATTGCTTGAGCCTGGGAGGTTGAGTCTGCAGTGAGCTGTGATCCCGAAACCGCAGCTTCAACCTCCCAGGCTCAAGCAATCCTGCCTTAGTCACCCAAGCAGCTGGGACTACAGGCATGTGCCACCACACCCGGCTAATTTTTGTAATTTGTGTGTCTGTAGAGATAGAATTTTGCCATGTCCCCCCAGGCTGGTCTCAAACTTCTGGGCTCAAATGATCTGCCCACGTTGGCCTCCCAAAGTGCTGGGATCACAGGCATGAGCCATTGCACCTGGCTCCAGTTTCAGGTATTCTTATAGCAGCACAAAACAGATGAA